TAGAGAGTAAAGTCAAAGTAGTGGTGATTTTGAAAGCTTGTAGTTATACGTTACTACTTTCAACTAATCAAATATTGCTACAGTTGCCTATCGTTTGACTGTAGTTGATTTTCGCTGGTATTACTTCGTATGGTCTTTATTTGGTAGTATGACTCCGATTACTTCATTTAGTAATAAAATATCCTTTATAAACAAGCGAATTCTATAAAGAAATCGATCGGGCTTAAAGTTTAAGATGGAATAGATTTATCAAAATTCTAACCAGCGGCACATGTCTTCCGTGTCATCGATGTAATTGTTCACATCGATGTCTCATGACATTCGACTGCGAAGTTAAAGATTGTAGCTGGCAGGCAATATCATGATGTCTGGTTCGCACTGTCAACCTTTTTTTCAATCATTTGTCTGACTACATACTTCATATTTGATGGGTAAACATAATGTGAGTTGGAACCAATGTTTTCTGTCTGGTGGAGACTAGGTCCTCTTTTACCCGAAAAGATAATCAGAAACACTATGACTGCTATGTCCAGACGACGTTCAATGGTCAGTCGAGGCAAACTATTTTCCAGGCTATTCAGTACGTCACCAATAATCTGAACCATCTCAAACTTAATCATGTTACTAAATTTTCGGAAAATAATCTCGTTTAATAATAATAATAATAATACTAAGTGTGTTCTGTGCAATAGGGCGCCCAAAACACATGAGCGTGGGTCAAACAGTAGGCTTCTTAGAATCTGCGATTGCATGAGAGAAGCGTTCGAATTAATGTGCTAACTAAGAATTTCCGAGGTAGTGCAATTAGAGGTAGGTAGGACCAGATGAGCACAAATGGGCGTATTATGTTTGAAATTCGTAATGAGCGGGCAACCATGCATAAAGGAGTCATTAGTTCACACAGATACTACAGCATAATAATACCTTAGGTGAGGTGCGAAGATAGCTCCCGTCTTAATCTTTTCAGGACTGGTTATTTTCGCACGAGCACGCGTGAATACCAGACGTTTTCGCCTTTTCTGTCGTTCTTCATGGAGTTTCTGCTTTTCTTGTTAATGACTCCATCATAACAAAGAATACGTAGGGGTCAACATAAAAAATAACACACTTAAACCCCATCGATTTCCATCCCTGCCTTTTAGTAGCCCTATACCTGACTCCGAATGTCCGGCACTTTAGCCGGGTTGGTGGACACGGGGCGTTCACCTAGAAGAGTTGGAAAACCCTGATTCCAAACCAATGGTGGAAATAGGCTACAGCATCCTGAGGGAAAAATGGCGTATGAATCAATCGTTGGTCACTGGCTACCATGGGACTGCATTTCCTTACGATGCTCCGCCGCCTTGTGGATCAGACCTTTAGGTCGAAGGTTCGGGGTGTGGCCCCCCAAGAAAACCAACTGCTTCGGTTTGAACACCCGAGCATTATCACAGCCCCCAAACAAATCAAGTGAGATTTGTATATCGCATATGTATTTGGTGCCTGCTTGTACCTATATTTATATGTTCAAATACAATAAAATATCTGACTCCAGTTATATCATATGACTAATTGTCATCGAAATATACATATCGTCAATCCTTGTTTGTTACTGTTGAATTAACTCGTGTTAGTGAGTAAGGCATGTAAGTCAACCCGACTTAACTATGCGTAAAACAATATTTATAGTCACAAAAAATAAGTTACAGTCATGTGATAAATAAGATAGAAAGTGCACAAACATACACATATAAAAACAGTCAAGGTTGACAAGTGAATTATTAGCACGGTTAAAATGTGGCTCAAGTAGGACGAATAGACTGACTTGTTCTTAAACTAGAATAAGCTGTGTGAGCTTGCATAGCACTACAGTCTATAAAATATTAAAAGCAGGAACATGACTTAGAAGTCTGGTCGAAAATTACCGTATGGAACTGCTGTTAACGGCTGTACCTTGGATATTGCTGTCGCTCTCGCAAGCTGTCAAGATTACTACTAACTCAGTTTCTTTTTTTTCTTGGTATCTGAATAGAAATTATATCACAATTAGGGAATATCTTTCTCCCGCGTATCCGTTACTGCACTCAAAATCACTTTTCGTAGTCATTCATGTTCTGTTCGTGTAAACAGAAAATCAAGAGCACAGAGGTCTATGGATACTCATGGTTGCATTCTGTACCTATATTCCTGCCAGTTGCATTACTGGGTAATTGGTTGGGTCTTACGGGAAGTCTTTTGATTCCTTAGGTAAGGTAATTGCTCAGATGTATTTGTAGTGGCATCGGACAATAGCTACACAATCCGCAAAGCTGTGAACACGAGACTACTCAGAAAATAGGTATTCAATATTTAACGTGGAGAAATACCTAACAATGGAGAAGGCTCAAACAATGAATTGAATGGACTGGGGTTGATCGAGTGGCATGGCTCGGCCATGCAGGCGTGGTCTCTGCTGAACGTTACCTTATATCTTCTATTCATATTAAATATATTGTTCTTTCTCTAACCTAACCTTGTTCTACATCATGTATTGGTAATTGATACGATACAGTGAGTTGGTGTAGTCGATGGTGTGACTTCCACGTAAGATCTTATAGATTAGGCAGTTATATCATGACAAATCTACAAATTTAGGATTAGGTCTATTATTAGAGCAGTACTAATATCATAGTAGACCATAATTCTACATATTATTGGTTAAAAGTGATTTTAATGCTTTTTATACGGGTGTCCTTTTATCATCTAGGCCAGCTACGTGCTTAACTCGATCAACTTTGAGAAACAGAGAGATAACCAATCGTCTAGTGATCTAGTTGCCATAAGTCTGTCTAAATTTGTACACTGCTCAGGAAGCGAACCTTCTATGGATATATTTTTAAGTTATCACTTGGGTACTATAGGAATACTTAAATACTAAATCTAATTGCTCACTTATCAGGCAGATTCAGATAACCATTTTGGGTCGGCTTTATAATCGTATCTAATGTTTGGGGACTTAAAGTTACAGAGTCTGGAATCTGTCAAAAAGACACGGGTGGATTCATCCTTACAAAGTGACCATATAAAATGTCTTCCTTATGAAATATGTTGAGAATCTGGTGGCTGACAACTTTCAAATGTGGAAGGTTTAGTAAACGTTCATCACTGACATTGATCTTGATATGCCTATTGACCACTACTGAGTAAATGCAGTCAGGTCGGCATCAAGAACAGCATTAAACGCGAAGGCGCCAACGGCGTTCGGGGTTTGACAACTCGTTTACACATAACACGTCTATAATCTAAACATACCGACTCAGTCTAACCAAATGTCAGAAATAAAAAGCTTGGAAGATTTATGATTGTAAAGCTATCGATGCGTTTGATCTAAGCTGGCTAGTAGTTGTAAGGTATACGTAGTGCAGCGTACAAAGTGGTTATCTGGTGCGAATGAGTGACCGAGTGCTCCAGCTAGTGTGTCCAGTGTAACCAATGCGGTTGTTGTGAACAGGAAAACAAGTAGCCCTGACAAACTACAAAAGCTATTTTTCGGGACGTTATTCCATTTTATTCAAAGCTTGTAAAACAATGACATTTATTTTTGTCCCTGATTTATTCTACAGAACATAAGCTTTCGTTCGAGGTATGATTTTTTGCTATGCCCTATTTTTGTTCCAAAGCTATTGTAATTCAAACATAATATTTTGCACCCTATTTTCTACTCTAATTCCTAGCTTTGGACGTAACTGTATTTTTCCTAATTATCGTGCGTTGTGGTCGGGTTAGTCACTTATTTATTCATGTACCTTTTTACACTAATCTGAACTGAACTCAGGATATCGAAAATAGATCAAGTAGTGTTCCACTTGTCTTATTTTTTCTCATTAGCGACTTGTCAGCCAATCAGCTTATAGAATAGTTTTCTCCTCTCCACCCCATTTCCAACTCACGCGTACTAGCCTCATGGTTAGGTCGGTCAGCCTATCGCGCCAAGGTCTTAATGTGGATTAGATAAGTATCCTCGGTACCAAGAGCGGGTAGACAGACTAAAGAACATAACAGCGCTTAGCAGCAATTTCAAAGACTCACATATCTATTTATTTTGGGGATTTGTTTGCCGCAACATCCGTTTACGCGAAAGACCGTGAATGAGGAAAACGTGAAGCGGATTAATGTCAAGTTAGAAAACAGTTTTATAGGAAATGTCCAGGTACGAAATTTTTAAAATCAAATTTTCATTCGTTGGCATTTTAAAAAAGGGCGTGTTACTCAACAGCAAGGGCGAAGGATCTTTTAAAATATATAGTCAACTTCAGAAAATGATTTGCAGTGTAGATTACTGACGTAGATGATTTGTGTCGAGTGCTTTGGAGCTCACTCGAGTTAGATGGGAATAGTATGACTTTAAAGTCCCGCCTCGCCATCAACACTTAATGTGGATTGTCTTTTCGTCGTATCAGGGTACTATTGCTGCCTTAACACCGTATAACACAAATGACGTTATTACAGAAATATATTAGTGATAGTAGACACAACCAATTGTGTGGGCCGGTCTGTAGAGCACGATTATTCGGTGTGCATCAGCTTCCCTCGGCGTCGGCGGGGATCAATGAACTGTTCGATACTTAGTGACTTCCATAGTGTCCAGTGACGTTTCACTGACCCTACATTTATATTAATTGTTAAGTAGTCCAAATAATATCGGTTCACACACTCAAAACATTTTCTCTGTTCAAGTATTTTAACACCGGTATCGCAAAATATAAGTTGATCACTACTAATTGATGTTTAGACTTCTCCATTTGTAAAAATATAAAGAAGTCATGACACGAGCTGTTCAAATTACAGTGGACATGAAACTTATTTATTGAAAGCTCGTGTTTGTACTCCTAGCTATTCTGCAATTTAAAAGTCACGTATCTTAGTACAAAATTAATAATTCTTCAGAACTTGTTTTGTTATTCAAAGGTTGTTTGTTTAAATAATCTAAGCAGGCACAATGTCATAGTGATTTGTCGCCTGTCTACTTTTAGATAGTCATTATGGACTCCTCTGACCTACATCTTGCAATTGATTATGTTGGATCATGTGGTATCGTTTTGACACCTGAACAAAAGGCGACGCTTAATACAACACTGACTATTTTGAGGCACGAAAACAAGTTCTCGTATGTGTCGTTTTGGGGTATAATTCGAGGAATCAATGGAGACTATTTCATTGCTCAAGGAATAGGCAAAGATGTATTAAAAGAAAAAACAAATCTGTACAGGTATATAGACAGTAATTTAGGTAACCGCTTTACTTTAGTAAAGATTGCACAACATGGGGGTTGTTACCAGTACCAGGGAAACAAGATATAGAAAAAAGTAAACTTTTCAAAATGAGACTAACAGGTGATCCTTCACATGAAGCTGAATACGTTGAGGTGAAACAAATGCCAGGAGAAGGTGATGAGCTTGTCGAGACTGAAGAACTTGTAATCTCTGTTTGATTAACGATTGGTATATGAATTAGATAACCATGAAAGAAGAAGATAGACTTGCTGCTATTATTTACCGCATGGAAGAGGAGGTTGTTATTGTTCCACGTGGTGCATTTATACGAATGTACAACGGACAAGTTGTGAGAAATAAATCTTTTGAAGGTAAATGGATGCAATTACTCATACAAACATAGGTTTAACTTGTGCTGAGGCTTCAAAGCTATTATCATACTTCCATTGTCGGCCTCCTGTAAATATGTCTAACAAACCATTAGCCGAAAGAGCAAAGCTGGATAAAGCCATCGATTTTTTAGATACTATTGAGGATGATAATCCTGAAGGTGAGATTCTTTTTTATTGAGACTAGATATTTCTCTACATTCACTTTTGGATGTGAGCAAGGAAATCTTCCGGAGATTTTAACATTTAATTCGTAATCTAGTGGAATAATGGCAGTTATTTGGTACTCATTAGCTGGTGATCATGAGATTATTTTTCATAGGTTGATAATAAACAATATTCTCCTTTTCGCGTCCATTTGGACGAAAACTTTTAATCCATTAAATATCCACATTATAATTCATACTTAGGAAGGCCTATTAGCTGCATATATGTTTTGGACTGTAAACTAGTATCCCCGCCCATGTAAAGCCACGACTTCAGTGTTCAAAGCGTAGTATACAATTTAGCAAAGTGCATGGTCAGTGAGACAAAGGCTTGTGCACAAACCTCTTGATTGTCAAGTTTAGTTTTTGATTGTTTTTTATCACCCAGAGGAAATTTGGATTTCAAAACGTTCATTTTTCAACGGTTAATGGGATCTGTTTAACTACTAGTGAATAGTGGTGCGCAAAAAAAAGACATTAGGTTGAATTCCCATCTAGAGACTTGTCTTTCGACAGAAACTGGGGGACACGAATGTCAGAAAGCATGACGCAGTCTCCCAAGTGCGCCAAGCAACTAAACAATAGTTTCTTGGATGCATTTTTATCCTTATTAACCCAAGATGTCGCATCGCAACTGATCTATGTTAACGCTTATTCTGATCATAGTCAGTCATATGCAACACAGAACCTGACATATATGTATATCGATCCGAATTGTCACACCTTATTAGCAGTGAGACGAAATTGTTAGGGTTATTCCTAGAGTTGTAACAGTATCAATAATAATAGAGAAGACTGGGGGTCGGAGATATAACTCGGGGAAATATAAACTAGTAAAATAAAAGAATTCATAAAATCATTCGGTCTTGGGTTCTAAGAGGAAAAAAAGATTGAACCTGTGCAGTTGTGGATGATTTTAAGCCATGTCACTTAGTTACTAGCTGTTGGTTAACATAATCAAGAGGACCCTAAGCAGATAGTCTGTGCTTTTGATGGAGTTTTGTTCTCTAAGCTGGATGGTTTAGTCGTGGAGCTTTCATCGTTCTTCTAAACATCATCAGCACAAACTTCAGGTAGACCATCCTCCTGGGCTACAAATCTTCTCCACCATCTCAGATACTCTGTGCATACCTAGATTCGAATCAAAGTATTATGATGCCTTTAAAGCACCACTTATCCTAAATGTCTTGTCAACCCTCGTGTGTGATAAGCGAAATCTGGGAAAGAATGTATTAAGATATTTAGACTTTGACAGTATGTCTGCCAACCCAAGGTCGGATTTACTAAGAGCCTTTCTAATTTACTTCAACCAATGGATTTACAACATGTGCTCCAAGAAAAAAAACATGTAGGGTATTTCTAAGTAGTGACAGATAGCTTCGAAGCATCACTTGTGTATGGTGGAGCCAGTGACTAGTCAGACATAAAATACTAGGTAAAGATGAAGGATCAGTTGTCGGTGATGTGTATCTTCATCACTAACTAACCGGACTAGAACATGTACTGAGTATCCACCTACCACATCCTTCAATGCCCAACGCTAATCAGCTGAAATTGGAAGAAAGCTAAAGACAATCAAATGAAGATCGTACATCCGTGTATTAGGTCACAACTGCTGACATAAGCTTTGTGGATAGGTACAGGTTTCCTGGTTGGGACCACTGACATAAATGTGTCCAACAGTTGGACAACTTATATAACATGCTTCGAGGTCGGATACTATGGCGCTGACGTGTTCGTATTCCATCTTCTCTTAAACTATGATCATTTCATGTTTTTAGTCCGTCAAGTAAAAGTAACTGGCTTTAGTTCCTTTATTTCTATATTAGCTAATCCCCTCAACTGTTTCTAGGTGTTCTGCCGTGGTGATAACTTTGGCCGATATATATTGTGTAGTGCAGTGAACATTTCGAAAGCTATGTCCAGGAAAATATTGTGTTGTGCAAATATATAAGGTCATGAAACAACAGGCAAAGTTTTGCATATCTGATGAGATAAAGGCATGAATAACGTAAGTTAAAAGAAAAATAAGACTTCGTTAGGTGGTAATTTCTATGATGCTAACGCAACTTCAGACCTATCCAACCGAAAACTAAGATGAAAACGATGATAATGTAACCATGAGGCAGGTATAATGTTACTTAGGAACTAACCATAACAAGAGTACACTATATACTTACAATACAGCATTGGAAACAGATTGGAATGAGTCAATTATATGTGCATACAGGATAAAAAAAACCCTAAAACTTTTGTGATAGATTTGAGAATCTTTTTCACTAGGGCGGTTATTATCAGGTCAGCTTTTGAAACGGCTGAAAATCTATAAATTACAAGGGATCATCTACACGTACGAGCTACTGACCAGTTGTCAGCCCATAACAGGCGTATTTATGTATATACATTTTAATATACATGCAAATTTTACTTGTCGGGGTCGCGTACTTTACAAGTGAATATTACAATGATTGCTGCTTTTACACATTTAGACTAAAAATTTTCTATAAACCACCGCTTTACACTTTGAAAAGGTTGTTGGGTGATTCAATTTGAACGTGGAGGCAACCTTGTTCTGGTCAAAAGTCTTTTATGGATTGGATATGTTTTATATCACTTACCAGGTACAAACAAATATGGATCAATTTATGTTGGAACTGGTGAATATAACATTGATCTCCCATTTATGATATAATGCAAAAAGTAGGTGAACTATACAAAGAAGTATAAAGTTTGATGTATTTTACAGAAACATTGAAATATTTGTATACAAATACTTAAAAAAATCGATTGGAATGAAAAACTAGTTTGCGTATTTGTTTATTTGATTACTCTTAATGTAATTGAAGAAACAACAGGCCGGAAATATCTAACACATCAAAATATCACAGGAATATATTAGAAATACATTTAATGACCAGTAATTACTCTGTTGTTCTGGGTGTGCATGAGAGTTTGTCGATAAATGCTTGTCTATTTCTGCGAATTTCTTCAGCTGATATTCGATTCCCATTATTTATGTCAGTTTGAGCTGTATTTTGGCCGACAAAATTCGATTCATTAGCTAAGAAGAAAAATTTTTCAAAACAATTAGTTTGATAAATTTCAGTAATGCAATGAGACGAAGATTATAAGAACTGTGATATTTTAGTGTAACACGTTTTAGACAGTTTGATCACATATATACCTGTTAAGATATTCATACATGAAAATATTGAAAACCAATTAGGCAAATTGGATAGTAAGAGAAAACAAGGATAATGAGGAAAAGTGTAAAGGTCTACACTGGATAATAAGTCGATAGCATCGAATTAGGCTTCGAGTGGGAACAAACTATTTTTGAATACACAATAACGGTTCGAAATTTGGCATGGTCAAGGCTTAAATAAGTATTATTATACACCCTTTATTATTCCTGCACAGCACTACAAAAGCTTATTTGATATCAGCCCTATGACGCATCTCACCCAAATGCTATAGGATGGAAGATGCTTGTCAGTCAGCTATAACGTAGGACCAGGCACATATATGCATCGGTCCAAGTTGCCATACCTCAATTAGTACAACAAGATGAACAGCAAATTCATAGTAGTTACTTCAATGGTAGTAATATATAAAATGCATATAAGGATATAATACAGGAAGAAAGAATTAATTCGTGGTCGATTCTGAGCCATATCACCCAGTCTCCAAACATTGGTTACGATAGTCACAAGGACCCCAACCAAGTAGTCTGCATCTACTAACATGGCTTAGAATAGAAGTTAATGGCTTCAAGGACTGATGCCACGTTTTGATTTGGCCGCCCCTAACTTTCTTCCAACCATCCTTAACACTAAGCAGCATTGAGCGTCGCGGTAAACAGAGTGGCCCAACCATCTCAGTTGACGAAGATTTACAACATCATCAACTGATTTACCATCATTCCCCATTACCTTGCATCTAACCTAACTATTACTTACCCGGTGATCCCAGCAGACGCCAGCAATATTTCTAAGGCATCTGTGGTCAAATACTAGTAGCTTACGAGTGTCTTCTACTCTTAATGGCCATGTTTCGCTGCCGTAAATTAAAACAGAACGGACTGCCGCGCAGTATACTCGTCCCTTAACTGATAGACGTATATCTCGCCTTCGCCATAGGTGATGTAAGTTGGCAGAAGCCAGGCGGGCTTTTTGAATCCGTGCTGAAAGTTCGTCACATACCAACCCGTTAGCGTTGATCAAACTCCTGAGATAAGTGAAGTTTTAGATGCTTTCGACAACCTCACTCCCTATCTTTAGTTCAAATATTGACACAGGCCAGTCCTGAATCAGCAGCGTTCATTTAGGGGGGGAGAAACGCATCCCAAACATTCTGTCATTGTTGCTCAGTGTTACCAAAAGACTGCATTTTATCAGCGTCTTCATCAAACAGGACTATGTCATCTGCTTATTCCAAGTCGATAAGTGAACCTGCTGGAAGGAGATAAATGCCCGAGAATTCGGTCGACAAGGAAGTTATTTCCATCAGTATGCCTACGATGAAATCGAACACAAACGGACACAACTTGAGGTTGCAAAACTATGTACTTTCATTTAACCATTGGGATTTACAGCCACACACATATGCGTCAGCCAACCTTGCTTGTAGATTACGAATGCTTCTCACTACGTATGTGTCCATCCAAACTTGTGAAGTGATAGAGTCGATGGGATGTAGGGCAATCGTTTACATACTGGTTGATTTTTTGATTAGCAATCAGTGGGACTTTTTACACAGCCTAATCCATGTTTGTCAAAAAATTAAGTTCTACATTTAATCAAAAACCTAAATAGTATTTAGATGATTGTCACATCCTATTGAATCGGTAACGAGAATGTTAACAAGTGGTGTGTGACGAACTTGCATCATTAACTGGCCAATGCTTGTGATAAGAAGCCTCTCGAATTCGAGCGTAAAACAATGAATCAAGTCAAAGCATAACCAAATACTTGTTTTCACCAAATAGCCTATTTTTTTCTTTACTATCTGAATACAAAGCAAGTGATTGATAATTCATGAGCAAACTGGATGAAAAGAAGTAAAATATGCAAAACACGTATTTACCAATACAGAAATTATCGCATAAGTTAGTGTAACCTTACTTCAGTTGCTTATAGTTATAGACTAAGAATACTAAGATAACGCGCTGAAATCCTTTACGTGTTAAGCACAATTGTTGGGACAGCCAGTATAACTATAGGTGCACGTACTGTACAAATATAACTTGTAGTTTAGTAAATAATTACAGATCTGTAAAAAAAATACCACTGCTAAAAATATATAGATAATTTAGCTTACTACAATAGTGATGATAATATTAAAATTGACAACAGATTCAAATAACACACCTTGCAAAATACTTACGAGCATTAAGGCTTAAAGCAATCGCTTCCCGTAGTTCCTTGTCAGACGTATCTTCGTACTCCTGCAGCAAAAAAGGTTAGCGAAACAGAGGTTTGGTGAAATCAGGCAATTAAATAAACACAGAGCAATCTATTTTATAATGGGTCCCAAAAAATATCAATTCATGAGAGGTAGCTGCGGCATTAGAACTTTATTTTGATTATTACATAACTGAGATCTACAGACACATTTAATTTACAAACAACTCAGTTGTTCATTACCAAAATGAAGCTATAAGATGTTCGCCTGATTCATGCAACTACAAATAAATGTGCCTGCTTTTAGAATTTTGATCTCCATAATCTAAGATCCTCTAGTTTTGGATACTTTGTACGTCAATTAGTGGGTAGAATTTACTTTAACAGATAGCAGTCCTAGATGGAAGGAAAAACACTATCTAACCTGGTGACTTTAAACATTCGATTGTAGAAACTGATAAGTCATAACGCTACTAGCTACGGGATGAGATCGTTAAAAGGTTTGTACCAGTACAAGTATCAATGTTTCAAACAGAATTGATCTATATCTTTCGATATGATATGAAAATGGTTAAAACATTGGATAAAAAGACTATGGTGTAAATGTCTTGATAATATTTATAAGAATGATCGCCCTTTTTATTTATTTGACCACATGTGGCAACCCATTAGCGTATGTTGAATAATAAAACTGACAGTATGGGTGTGTTGCGGAATAAAATCAAATGTGCTGATTTTAGAACTAGCATTTTCAAACCAAATTTTTCAAAGAGTGGTGAATACCAGCTTTGTATGTAATCCTATAGGATTTTGAAAACAGTTTACAATAGTTATGTGATTTCATCAATGAACCACACTCACACAAAAATGGTTGTCTTAATATCATTATTTTCTGCCATACTGTAACTTAAAGTAACAAGATTCAGAGATAGCATAGGTTGACCGCGTCGAATGGATTGAGAAAGCACGAAAATGTAAATATAGAAATTATTAATTAGTACACCATTCAATAAATGCATGCACGCCAGCGAATAAAGGTGCAGTTAGTTGGTTCTCGTAAGTAGTCTGTTAATATATTTATTTAACTGTAGTTCTTTAACAATACGCCAATTTGCCCTAAATAAGTGTTGTTATTTGTCTTCGTACAGTTGTAAGTTAAGTCTCATTTGCAGTATTCTCTCTTTTGTGTATTTGATTATCTCCCATCTGACTGCTATGAATTTATTATTACAATATTTATGGTTAGAGTTACTCCTCATAACTTTGTAACTAGAAATGAAGTTGTGAGGGAAACACAAAGGCAATATATAACTATGAGCAGGTTTAAAATGTAAGTTCATGTCGAATTAACATGAAAAAAGTTTACTCACATTTGCTGAAACTCTTAAAGCGAGTTGTAGTTCCTCATCATCATTTTCGGATGATTGTAAGATGCGTTGTAGGGTTTGGTCATCATCATCAATATCTGCATTGCTGACAGCTAAGGCGACATCCACTTCTGTACTTTTATCCGGTTGACTTGTGCTAGTTGTGGAAGATCTAGTCAAGTCGTCTTCAACAACAGGACAAATCTAATGAATTGTAACAAATTTATTAATAAAAATGAGAATAAATTTTGGATGCTTTAGTACCAATCTAGATGTGTGGAAAAATTGTCGACTACATGTTTATCTATGAACAAGTGTACTTGAGAGTATAGTACCTTATCGAATCTAAATCGTTTAATGGGACAGTCAGAGACGATGCTACTTACTATTTTTGATTCTAAAGAAAGCCAGACCGTAGTGAATCCAAGTTTTTAAGATCATTAATATAACCATCTAGTTGAAATATAGGCTGAATTTTTGTTGTGTACTCAGGCCGTCCGAGTTTGCTATTGATACGTAAGCTTCCTAAGCGTACTCCCAAGCCAACTACTTGAATAAGAAATGCAAGCGTGGATAGGTGTTATATCTCTTTCTTTTCTTACGGTTATGACCCAGCTATTCCTATTGCTTAGTATTCTCGGACACCGATTCACTCGACAAGTCCTCAAATCAAAACACGGTTGAACAGGAAGAGATTATATTCCAAATAACAAGGTTATATGGAAGCAAGAAGCAAGTCAGAAGCACAATAGGGAAAACATCAGTATATTTATAGTTTTTACATAAAAAGATTCCAGAGTATTCTCCAACTATCGACTAGTGCTGAATGGATAAGAATTAGCCAATTAGCGTGCACCAAAGCAATCATGCACTGAGCATGCTTTAATCCAGTCTATGTCCCGCTAACAATAGGAAACTATTGGCCAACTAAATCGAAGATACATATATGTCTCCCTCAGAAAAGTAAGACAGGTTGTCAATCAGTAGTGTATATAGGTTTCCCTGTAAAGTTAAGTCAAATCTTATCCAGTGGTGTGCGCCTGTCAGTGTTACTTATTTATCATTTGACCTGTGTCTGGATGGTTCAGCTCATCACTTTACCTTCCTGCAAAATAATTCTGGCTTTTGGATTCGACTATAGGAACTGAGGCGATCGATACAGGCCTAGTGGTGAGACGTTTTCACGAGCTTTGTTGTACTTACGGTTTAAGTATTTGCATATATCAGAACTGACAGAATAAAAAGTAGCTAAGTGCCGAAACTGAACTTCAGAAGAGAAAGGTCGAATTGAATAGGGATAGAAAGAGCTTAACAGCATAACAAACATGAAACGTCAAATGACAGAATAAAAACAAGTGAAATTTCAAACTAAATTGGCGTACGGATAATATTTCGTCGGCTTCACATCGAGGCAAGGTACCAGTGATAATAAATATTGAATTTCCTTCTTCTTTAAGTTGAGCCAAATAAATAGCTAGATATGTTTCAGAAATTAATTTAGGTGCGGAAAGAATTGAGTTGAGGTTGAACCATTGCTTCCCGATTTTCCTTATTGTAAACCAGTGATGCCGGTAGTGACAAATGAAAGCATTCTGACTAGCAGGATTTTCCCTAGCACGTTCTGCTTCCGGACATTGTCGCAAAAAAGGTACAAGTTCTAGAGACCATATCTGCAAAGCTTGGCTAATAACCTATGAATACAAATACAACAAATTTTCACCCATAGCTGAAAATACATTGGATTACGTGTTCACAACACTGGGACTACACTATTTTAAAATTTAAACCTAAATATGAGAAGCGAACTGACTGAATACAATAAACATGAAGTATACGTGCACTAGTGATAACATTAGAAACGTAAGCAGAAGACAAACACTACGAAAATGTGTTCGTATCCAGTGATTTATTACGTCGAACTATGAGGGAACCTTACGGGGTTTTACCACACTGTCAACAAAAAGCAGTACGAAACGTCACTGGCACTGGTTAACTAAAATCCACTACTCGCAAAACAATCGCCTACCGTTATTAAAAATGAAATATGAAATCCTCAATTACAACTACATTTGTGATTATCAGTGGTGTCCAAGTAAAAGATTTAGAGTTTTGTGTTACTACTGTCTGAACCTCTGGTATCTAGACATTTTCCATCGTATTTGATTAGGGAATGGAAGATACACGAAACAATAACACTTGTAGACATTAAAAAAACACAACTTAATGGGGCACTACAGGAGTATACACACATCGAAGATGGCTAGTAAGAATAATTTACTCTTATCGGTTGTATGACGGATATGACCACCACGTGTGGACATAATTTAATCGGTAGAAAATTCAACACATACATAAGATAGTTAATTAATGGTAGGTTATACATGAGTTTATCGACTTGTGTTATATCAGTCTTCAGTAATAAGGATAGGAGGTCTACCGACCTATATTAATCCCTGCACTTTGTAATACTGTGGAGGTCCAATCTCGTTTTCAATATATCAACAGAAGGTGCTGATATTACGTGTTCCGGTACAAAATGCCAGTAATTCACTACTCAGTGCGAACCGTTACTGAAACAAAAATCAAAGCGTCAATCCTCTTTCAGATACTTACCTGTACTGAAAAGTAACCACTTTCATCCATATTTTGAAAACAATTAGACATACCGCGACTGCTTCCCAACTGGGATACTTCTTCATCGTCTAACTGTTTGGCAATGTTAGCTAAATCCACTGCTGTAAAATAAGGGCCTTGTAGAAGCGCATTTAGGCAGTGTTGTGCACACAATGATCCATCTTGCTACATAACATTGAGAGAAAGATAATCCGCCCACCTTCTCGTGAAAAATCAGATCCATTTACACTCCCCGCCTGAAGTGACCTAAAGTAACAACCTATACGTCTATACGACAAAACAACAATCACCGTTACCAAGAAAATCACTAGAATCACCAATCCTCCACGTTGCTTCAGTGATCAAAGTTTGTTCCTCTGACGATGTTAAGTTTTATTTCAAAGGACGTGACGTCAATCAGTTTTATTCGTTGAATACATGACACAGAATGAAATCGAAGTCTGATTTCTAAGCACTTTCGAAATGGTCTCAAGAGTCACAAATGACTAGAAAAAGAATGTAATCTCAAGTCGATTAAAACTCGACTTACTTCCTGAAGGTATTCGTAGTTATATTCTACTGGGCATGGAACCACGATCAGCGGACGATGTTTAAATTCCTCCACGATAATTTGAACTATTCAGTGTCTAAGCAAAAACACAGTAATTGTATTGTTTATTCACCACGCCCGTATGCAGTAACTAGGAGTATTCGAATTAATGTACAAAATAAGAATTTCCGGAATGGTGCAATTTAAGGCAAGTAGAACTAAATGAGCTTGCACATGAACCATAGATTTATTACCCCACCTTAATTAACCCTTCGTAGATTGGAGGAAGTCAGTTCTTTGGTGATTTCTTGTTATAGCAATTTAATCGTAGTTTATCTTGTGTGCGGCCCGTTAATTCCGCACTAAAAGACGGTGTCCACTGTCTTCTCCCGGTCTTTTAATCTTTCAGCATCAATAGGATTTATGTTTGTTTTCATGGTCTTGACACTGTATTCCTTGCAGATGCTCACTTGTCATTTCCTCTGCAAAACTGCACGTCGTATGACTTTTCGTTTACTAAATGAGTACAAAGTATGCTATATTTAAGAAGTTTAGTTAGTTTTTCATGATATTGAAGCAGAAAATTATCGATACATTTTTCTAGCTCTTCTAGATTATTTAAATTCACTGACGTGATAGTACTATTTAAAGTTCGAACAAAATTTTCTGCTAGATCGTTAGACTAATGATGTCATGGGGCTGCAAACGGATGACGGCATCCAATATCAGTAGGCTAGCCGTTAAGTGTTTTTCTGTAAAAGAGGTTCCATTATCCGTTCCTAATACACTGACCATACATTCGTAACTAAATATCTTCCTCAGTGCCCTTTGAGTAAAGTGTCTGCCAGGAATGCCCGTTGATACCATTTCTGACTATTTATAATGTGAATCGATGATAACTAATCCATAAAGAAGCTTTAAAATGTGCCGCAGTATTGGCAGGTAATGGTTCATCCAAAATACCTTCACTTTCGTTGGAAGGCGTGATAGAAAATATGCATGTGGTAAGCTTTTATCTACTTGGTGCTCAATGGCGAAATCCTTCTCACACAACTCTAAATCCCATCTCTGGACTATGGCAGATGATAATCGATGAAAGGACTTAGATGGATGGTAGATAAACTTTGACGCTTGGCAATCAGTTACAGTATCAAATTTTATATCAAACAAGTATTTGTACAGTCTTACTGCCCCTATGACGGCTAAAGCCTTTTTTGAATCTGTGAATGTCTTTGTTCTCTTTTGCCTAGTTGTCTCGAAGTAAAAATAACAGGTTTCCCATTATGCTCTGGAACTGCACCTTAGCCGCTTGAGATGCATCTGTAGTCAGGATTGATTTTTCAGTTGCTGAAAACAATCTGGAGAAAATCTTGTCATTTAAAAACTGCAGTGTCCCTCAGTACATCTCGTGTCGTTGTTCTGATACATACACTTCACCAAAACCAAGTAAAAAAGTGGAGGTACTAATAATGTAAAGTCAGGAATGAATCTATAACAAAACTGAGGTGCACTAATTCATGATGTGAGTGCTGAAATATTCTTAGGTGACCGTGCATGAATCAGTAAAGCTAAGCGACTGGAACCAGGTTTAAAACCCTTGGCATCTAAAGTATAGCCTAGGCATTTGACGGAATTTAGTTGAAGCTGACACTCGGATGGATTTAAAGTAATATTTGAGTCACAACTACGTCTAAGTTACTTTAAAATACATCCATTTTGCAGCTTAATATTTTCAACACGAACTGCCATATCGTCCTGCTACAATTCACCACCATCAAGACCGTTGATAATCTGATTTGCAACCTTCTGAATATCTCAGTGGAAACATTTAGTCCAAATGGTAGTAGATTTTATTTGGGCAACACAAAAGGTGTATAATAGGTAGTTAGTCCATTAGCAATCTCATCAAATGAAATTCGCAAACAAGCATTTTTCAGGGCAGTTTTAGAAAAATAGTCTGACCCTCGTTAGTCGTATAAAATACCTTTGATAAACGTACTGACAGAAGAATTAATATTTAAACAAATGCGTACATCCATCAATCTTAAGCCTTTTAAGCCAAATATAGATCGTAACGACCGAAATGCTAATACTGGGTTTGAACGCAGAACTAATGAACCAAAATTTATTTGGTTAGACCAGATTACGTTCTTCTGTATAGCATACGAAGCGCTTTTGAGTTACTCGTATTAATTTATATCAAAATACAAACTTTTTTCTCAATTTAAATGGTTCTAATCCAAGAAATAATTTTATCGAATGTACAAAATACCTCAAACTTTACAGCCTGTGCTATACAGTGAAGGGTTTCTTTGACACAAATTAGCGTGCTAAACAACAAAAGAAACAGTTAATATAAAAAGTTCAATAGAAATATTCACAACGAAATTGGACCAGATATCTATCTGGTCGGATTTCAGCCATTTCTCCAAGCAGATAGTCAAAAATTAATATTCACACACTGAACCACGCCGTGACTTTGAGCTTAGTCATATACGATCCTATTGTTAATAGTCCGAGAACATGCCACAGAAGAATTGGGTAACAAATGGTAAGTCTTTAATCAAAGTCGCACAGTCAAAGCTCAGACGAAGACTGAAGATCACATAGTGTGGTTAAAAGAGATTAGAATAAAGGTTAAAATGCACGACAAGGAGAAGGAACAAATAAATGATAGTACTGTCCAACAAAGTGCTTTGGAGAGATTTTCATTATTTTCTTTCCATTACATGGATGAACCATAGTGACTAACTGTATTGACACAACTACCTTATTCTTTCCTCGACGAAATAGTCAAAGTATCAATGACGAATAGCCGATGTTCATTCATGCCAGTAGTTGTACTAATTGTGGGTGAAGACGCCACAGGCATTTGGAGTTTGACAATGCTTTAACCAGTAACACCTAATATAAATCGTACCCACCAAGTGAAATCAAAAGACAGAAGCGAGGAGGTTCGAAGATATATTTGATAGGCTATCAATATATCGTGAATCGACTGATCTAATCTGGCTAGAGATTGCAAGGGTTGTTGGACACGACGTTCCCATTCGTGATCTGGTGCAGATGCATGACCGAGCACCTTCAGCTAGGTGAGTCCATTAAAACTAATGTGGTCAGCATTCAATTTCGAAGACTTACAGAGCTATTTATTTTGGGGATTTATTTACCGCTACAATACAATCATTGATTGTGAGTGACTCAAAAAAGCTTCATACACTATACAGGAGGACGAAGTTTGACACTATCGAATAAATTTAAGTTTTTTTATATGGTTTTCTGCGTTTAGATCAAGTAATGGAACTTTGGTTTTTACAAATCCTATCAACTTTGTCAAGCATAGAAAAATTTATTTAAAATAATCGATTTTTAGTATTTTCCGGTTACTGTTGAGGATGTAGTTTTTATTCCTTCATTCAATTGTTTTCATTTCTTACTTTTTCATTTATTCACATTTCAATAAATTCCATGCAATTAGTTTGTTAAATTAGTAAATGTAGCATATTTCTAGTTGATATATAAAAAAACTTTGATCCATTGTACTAAAATTTGAGATGGTGGTCCACCCATCAAATTGAACTCTGAATTGATTGCTAGGCAAAAGTAATCCAGTGATTATCAAGGTAATTTGATGCTACATAAAAATGTATTATTACTCCATTGATAATAGTATTCTAGTTGTAATAAGTTCTTGGATGAATAAAATCTATTTTTTGGTAGTTTTCCATTTATGACTAAATTCATAAAATCAATTCTTTTTCTTATCATAATTCTGATTTAGCAATGAAATCTATCTTTGTTGGGTCACTCATTTACCGGCTCACCCAAGTGAATTACAGAAATTGACTGAAGCTGACTACATCTTACTTTTTAAACGGCAAATAAATTTTTTCATTCTATTTTCGCTAACCACCTTGAAATATTATTCTGTTCACTTTCATACTGTCATTCTGTTAATCATATAAAAAGCTAATCCTGATCTGTAATCTTGAGGGAACTGTTGCTACCTGATGGATTGGATCCTGAGTCACCCAGCTTCATAGTCAGATATGTTGCTACTGGGCTATCCAGGCCGTGACTGACTGAGATGTATTCACAATTGATTGATCACTGTGTGTCAGGTCCTTCTTAATGCAGATGAAGTGTTATCAATGAGGTGAATTATACAGTTAATTTCATTTTCATTTTATGCAAAACGATAAGTAGAAAATACATGAAATCTTCATATTTCAAATATTAGTTATGTTCAGAAATCTAACTTCCTTCAAATGGTGGTATCAAAAACCTTCAAAGTATATATATGAAGATAAATTTTTCCAAAAGATACAGAGATGTGACGTGGTTTTTTAATTCCTCATCCTACTTATGTTTGTATGTTGTTCGTATGGGATATTTCTGAAGTATAAACAGTTAGTTAAGTAGTTCTGATGATAAACAGTGAATATGATTTATGTTTCTGGTTAAATGTCTGTCAGATGTGATGAAGTGTCTGTGATTAAAAAACGATTCATGATTACTTTCGAAGCCAGCTACGTTATTTTCTGAAATAAATACAAACAGTCTGTCAGCAATGTTAATATTCGACAGTTATCTTTAGTTTAAAATTTAAAGACGTTTCCATTTTGCTGCATTCGTATCCATGATATTTTGCCCGTTTTTTTTTGTATTCATTTGTTTCTCTTTTCAACATACCGCTGTGTAATTGCTGAAGAGTATTTTATTTCCAATGAAAAGCGTTTTTGATTAAGATTTTATGTTTTGTATTTATGTCATTCGGCTGTTAAAGATATCAACAGAAAGCTTTCGTAGTTGTTGTTTGTCTACAATTTGAGTCTGAAGTTTGGAGAACTGTTGCTTCACATAAACACTAAATTCACGTCACTCACTTTCTTATTTTGGTACATCACCACAAAGCTACTTAAGTCATAACTCACCCTTTGCAAGACTGTTGTAAGAAAGTTATCTAATTACGTTTAATCAACGTAACACGAAACAAAATGCACCATGCTGTTGAACCACATAAACTAGTGTCTATATATTACAAGTTGATGGATTTAAAAAGTAACCTTAGCATTTTCTAAGTGAATAATTAGTGTGATTCAATTTACGTACGGTCGAGATTAAATAATTAAGCGAATAACTAGTTTAATAACTTATAAATATATATATGGAGCTTGCACTAACAATCAATGAAATACTTTCAACCGGAACACCAGGTAAAATGGTTTCATTAGAGCTCAGTATCTTATGATTCTAAATATTCAGTGACCACAAAACTCCACTAACAGCTCAGTATGAATGTGTTATAAATTCACTGAATATTATTTAATGAATTCAATGTTTTTCACTTTTGTGTTTATTTGTGTAGTTTTAGTAACCTTCTAGAATGACAAAGACACGTTTAATGTTAGACAACTGTTCCGTCTTTTACTATCCGTTCATTTAATGCATACCGACTGACCAAACTTTGAACCAGTTTAGTCAGACACGGTTGTAACAATAATACATATATATATATATATATATATATATATATGGTGGTTTAGCTTCAACTGACTCATGATCTTAACCATTGAAATTACTACAATCTCCACAAAACCCATCTGAGATTATTGATAAGTTTAAAAATTACTCTGGTTGATGAATTCTTAAGTTCAATGATTAAATAGTATTTCAATAATCCCGGGTTAAAGTTCAATTAACAATAAACCAATATATTTTGACAAACTAGTTTTTTGTTCTTTCTATTATTTCAATTATATAAATAGATAGATACGTGATAACAATTAATGATGGATAATTTACATGAGAGAAAGAGAGAAAAAAACAGAAAACGAAGTAAATAGAAAATCAATAATAAAATTATAATGTATGCGAAAGGTAACAATATTGAAATGATAATCAGAGAAGGGTTTTATGGAGATCAAAATAATTTAGTAGTTGAATTCATGAGTTAATTGAAGCTAGACCACCATGGAAAATCTGAAAGTGCTAGACAGCTGTTTCGTCCCGATACGGGACTCCTCAGCAGTGCTTCCAGTTTTTCTATGGTGGTCTAGCTTCAATTGACTCATGAATCCAACTACTAAATATTGACATTGTTTTTTTTTCAAATTAGATAGAGAAAAGAAGCACAAGTAGATTAGTCTATATACTTAATGTGAAACATAAAAATGCAAATATTATTTGAGAGAAAGAATGAACTACTCATTTCTATATAGTAGAGTAGAATAATATTTCAAGTTTATGAACATATTACTATATAACATGAATCAGAGGCAAGAACAGAAACATTTATGAATGTACAAAATATGACTGTGGTGAATAAAGGAAGGGATTATTAGTGTAATACTATTTAAGAATGATATAGAAAGAAGAATATATTTTGTTCGTTATCTCTTATGTTATAAGTGAAAATATCTAGTTTAAATTATGTACACACAGCCACAAACATAAATAATTAAATAATAAGAACAATAATGATATTATATTATAATACTTTTAATTGATACTAGTCAATAAAATGAATCGTTTTAATGATGAATACCAGTTGTATCGTTATTTTTCGTCTTACTTACCATGGTGCTTTGTTGAATTGATTCATTTGGACATTTGTAATAGGATAGTTTATTGTTTGTTAAGTAACAGGAATTAGGAATTGTTTGAGAATAATGTATCATATGAGATTGATTTAAGGGAAATGATTGATTCTGGCCAGATATATCAAGGGGTTCACGTATCGGTCGCCTATTGTAATATAGAGTAAAAAATAAATAAACACGATCTAATGATGATAAATGAAAATAGTTTTCACGCCAGTTTGATTACTAAATTATTTCTATAGCTTCTGTTGAACTGATCTTTTACTTGTTATCGTAATTTCATTAACACTGAATAAACCGTATGGTCATCATTCTCACTGGTCAATCCGAAAATGTGATAGACAAGTTATCGAACATAATTTTGTGATTGTACCATTAGCCTTTTATTAAGTACTATACATATTTACAGGAATTAGACTGAATCGAATGTTTTAAAACTCTACACTTAGTTACTTCAATCAGTTATCATTAATAAAGTGTAACGGAATAATTGTTTACAAGTTAGCTAGATTAATCATTTAATTTACTTTTATCAGTTCTGACCTTAATATTCAAGTTAATCTGTAAGTAATACAAAATAGTTTTATTCACGAGTTGATCTAAGCTGAACTAACTTGTAAAACCTGGAAGTACTGAACAGCTGTTTCGTCCTAGTATGGGACTCCTCAACAGTGCGCATACACAATCGCGCACACGGGACTCGAACTCAGGACTTACATGCGAATGCACAACCTCTAGACCAATGAGCTGGCATCCGACGGCGCTAATGTCTAATTTCAACCGATCCACGATATTGCGTGACCGTCCACCATTGTCTTCAGTGAGTAACTGCCTCAAAACAGACACGGTTGAACTCCAATGGTCATGGCTTGTCACTACAACTCCAGGAAATCAATTTTGTAGCTAGTCACTAGTGAGCTTATGATTATTATTAGTATGGAGATTTATGACGATTTTAGTACATTCAAGTTTTCACTGGTGATCTGGTATATATCAATTTGTGAATTCTATTGTTAAAATACTATAATCTCCATAAATCATTATACTAATAATATAAAATATACAAATTACCACACAAAGCTATCTATATCTATTAAGATGTATCAATTCATTAATTTAACCTAAATTGAATACGAAAAAAACATTTAGTTCAGAATAATTTTAAGCTAAGTTATAACGATTGTACAATAATAGATTTCCCGAAATGTATCTGTCAATTAAATTACGATCTAAATAGATGATACCCTAATTACTAAACTATCAATTCTTGTTATATTCAAAACAATAGTTTCTTTCTTATTATTTGTCTTCTACCAATACTTGAATACAATTCATTAATTTTGTTAGACCGAATTATTATTTGTTCTTGTTGTTGTTGTTGTTGTCTAGAATGACTAACTTAGTACAAACGTTTTTCTTTTTACATTTTGTTAGTTTCAATATTTACTTGATTAATTAAACCTTTCAGATAAATAATAACTTATGTACATATTTGTAGTTTATGTTATGGAGTGATTTCAGGTCGGTACTTTGAAACAACAGAATTGACATATATTTACAGCTAATTGAAGAAGATCATCAAATATTAACGATAATAATTCTCTTACACAGTAAATTGATCTAATTATACTGGTTGGAGTGTTTTAGTAATACTAGACTGAATTAGCTATCCAAAGCTCCTTGGTTTCAAATGAATTTCTACCTAGTGTAAATTGGTGATGTGAACTACAAAAAATAGGACGATCACAATCAAACCCTTACACTAACATAAGTTTTAGTTCAGAAATTGGTTTTATCAGACAGCTCGTTTTTCAGAAATCATTAACTTATCTTGTTACGAATATATACAAACTATAATCTAATCAAATTAGTACAATTCTAGAGGAAACATTTATCTTCAAACAGATTAAAAACAAAGCACAGTTATTAAATTTAAATGTAAACAAGAGACACATCATTTGATATCACTTTATGTCACTGTATAATTATAGTTTTAATGACTGTAACTACTATGTAACAATTGAAATGGATCAACTTCACCAAACAACAATAAAGTCTCAGCCAAAATCAAGCTAGAGTTGAGTAAATGGTTATTGAGTTTGTTAAGCGTATCCAACTCTAACCAAATAAAAGGTTCACTAATTCCACTGGATCTAAATAGGAGAATGTAGAGTTTATTCTTCTTTCAGTTAATTACTGATTTAAATATAAATTGTGTTTGAATATGACCATTAGTAGAGAAACATTTCAATAATAATGTTTTAAAAAGCTGTATCCAATTTTAGATCACATATTTGAATAAGTTACAAAAATTCTTTGCAATAAATGGTTCGAGCTAAAAATTTCTCCAAACAGAGAAGGTTGGGATGGATCAGTATTATTTTAAGTTTTATACCTATTTGTCACATTAAACGTATGTCTTATTAGAATAAGAAAAACATAACTTTATAAAACTGAGGTAATTAAATTACCGCATTGGTTGATTACTTAGTAATAATCAATATTTTGTTCGCCCTGTACTTAGGTTTCATGTTAAATAGACCAGGTGGGTGATTCTGATGGAGTTTTGTTCTCTAGGATGGATGATTTGGTTTCCAATTTCTCCTAGAGAAATTCAAACATTTCACTTCTACCTGAAGTTTGTTCTGATGATGCCGTTTAGAAGAACGATGAAAGCTCCACGACCAAATTATCCATCACAAAAAAACTCCATCAAAAAGTAACTGGAATTTTAAGAATGCTATGATTACCAATAGTTCTCCCGAGATTGTTTTATCCTGTTCTGATGAGCAATAAATAGCTTGAAAATAAGTTAAATGGCCTCCATGAAATTGCCTATAACCGCCAAATACAAATTAAATCATGCTCAGAACAAACCGACGTTTATAACGCATTTGAGGCTGATCTAAAAAGATGACTCGAAGCTATGTGGCGGTGATGAACATTGGTTAGAAATAATATGAATTTCGGTAAAAATCACTTATCAGTGTAGGCTTTGTAGGGATTGTACTATTTCCATAGTTTAACTCACTAATCAATCTTACTCTGATTACCACTGGAAATCGGTTTCGTCTTAGTAAAGAACACTCTAGAAACGGGCACGTCCCAATACGCCAAAAAGGAAAGAACTCAAAACCCTTTTTTGAGCATTAACGTTTAACCTCTATATCAACTTTAACCAAATGACGATAATGTGAAACCAAAATCCATACCCTGCAGCGAATAACCGTCTCACAAGCTATAATATTGAACTCAATTTGTCATGGCTTCACACTTACGATCATTTTTTATGATTGAATAGTGAAAGATTTGATAGCTAAGATCAAGACAAACATCATAAAAGTACATATTAAAAGAAGGTGAACTTACCGATATTTATTTAAATCTATAGGAATTAAATAACGTGTAGGGAATGATTTATTATTTATACAACCTAAATTAATTTCCCATCCACCAGAATGATTTATTGTAGTATTACACATTGTTGATGGTGTATTCATATGATTAGATGATGAAATTGGTTGAGAAATTTTAAATCCATTTGTAATTGTTTTAGGAGAATTGATTGTAAATCTGGTTGGATTTGATTGATAAAAATGTACAGGCTAAATAAAACAAAACCAAGCAATAGATTCCAGTGTCAAATGTAGTATTGAATTGTTTTCAATGAACTGACCTTTGAGTTATTAAAACATAGATATCTGGAAAAATAATATTCTTTCCAGTTAACTTCCAGTACATTCTATAGTTATTATAATTAATAAGGAATATCCAAGTTTACCATATGTAGCATGTAAAGTAGTATTGACATAATAAAATCTTTAAACTGAAAATAACTAGTACATATTGTTAACACGAATAAGTCTATACATCAATTGTAGTTGTATGTTTAATAACCATAATAAATATATAGACAGAAATAAATAGTAATCTAATGTTATATCAAATCAAATGTTTAATCAAAAACTATGTCATACATCAAATTATATGAATATATCACTATGGGGTTGTGAAGATTGTTAAGTTTTTGATTGGGATCATGAATCGATCGATGTAAGACTATCATTGAAAACGTGGAAGCACTGAATGGTCGTTTCGTCTTAGTATGAAACTCCTCAGGAGTACGTATCCATGATTCCACACGGGGGATTCGAACTCAAGACTTTCTGTATCACGTGTCAACGCTTAACCTCTAGTTGGAACTAATAAGATAAGTTAAGTGGTTATTAAGTTTTTCACATATTTACAAAACTAATAATAATAACAATACAAAGGTACGTGCTAATAATAATAACATTTGAATAACGCTAACTAACAAAACATTAAGCGAACGATTCCATGTACATGAGTCAAATTATGTCATCATATAATCACGAATGGTATCGACTTGTTTTATTTGAAGTTAACCAAAATGAAGAATTTGGCTTAACACATATCATTTATATGTAAGTCTCTTCTTTTTAAATCCGTATAGCTACTGCATCAGCCATTTAAAGAACTGTAAGTTTGATGAATTTCAAAGATAACTGTTAACATCTCAGTTATTCTTCAAACTAAGATACTTAAGTAGAACAAGGACTAAAATTTTTTATGATATTGATAGAAGTCAATTTACAAAATGAAATTTTATTTTACAGTTTTATTACAAAATGTGATCCGTTTATGTAATTATTATGGTAATAGGTTTCTGTAGATATATTATCTAACAACTGATTTATTTACAACTATACTATTTCGATAGATCCTATTCCACTGTTAATTTGATCCTTTCAGATAATTAATATAACACACATAGAAATAACATATTAATCCAATATCTAAAGTTATTGAAACGTTTGCAAACAAAAAGAAAACTAGTGTTTAAAATGTATAAGTTTAAACCCGTTTAAATAATATCACTATTGTTTTGAATGTTAGATCGAAGGTCCTGGGTCCAAGTGTTGCGTGCTTGATTGTGGATGCGCATGACTAAGTAGTCCCATACTAGGATAGAATGGCTGTCTAGTGCTTCTACAACTTCAATGGTGGTCTAACATTGATGGATTCATGATCTCAACAATCTGCACAACTCTATACTGTCAAACAGCTTATCATTATGATGGAAATTCGTTCCTTTCATGTATCTTAAGGGGTTTCGGTTTTAGTTGGTACTTCTATAATGACCTGTTTATACGGTTCAATTTCATCGTGCACTACAAATTGCATGAAATTGTTTAGTAATGTTTATTAAGTTTATTGAACCTAAAGATAACAATGTATGTGGAGATTGTTGTACGACAAGTAAAAATGGATCAAATAGTTATGTCGTATCCTAATTATGAGGTTTCATGGCGAGTTACCTTACTTCTAGTAAGAAGCTGTAACCAATAGAATTCAACTGTGTTGTTTATTGAAGATACGATTAGATTGTTGCTTAATTCTTCGAATTGATTGAAGTCAAACATGTAAATCAGTGAACATTATCTCAGTAGTCTAAAGATAAAATTATCACAGAAAGACCTGTAAGTTCTGCGTTCGATTATAAGCGATGATCATGAATTTGCCTTTTACAGGAGTTTCATACTGTAGCAAAACAAATATCCAGTTCTTGATCTCAATAAAATTATGTAGTGGCTTAAATTTTCCGATAATTTTGAGAACTTTTTTCACAGGTTGAAATCATGAGTCAACTGAAGCTAGATCACCATGGAAAACCTGGAAGCACTGGACAGCCGTTTCTTCCTAGTATGAGACTTCTCAGCAGTACGCATCCACGATCCCGCACCCCGCGGGATTCGAACCCAAGACCCACTGGTTTTGCGCGCAAGCACTTAACCACTAGACCACTGAGCCGGCATCCAACGGTGTTAATGTCTAACTTCAACAAATCCACGAAGTTGCGCCACCGTACACCACTGTCTTCAGTGAGCTGATATCTCACTTTTTTCAATAATATAAAGACTAGACAGTATAGATAATAATGAATAGTCTTATTTGTGACAAGTATATTCTGTCTTGTTTCTTCTTTATTAAAGTAAAAAGAATGAGAATATAAATTTATAAACATTAAACATACTTCATTATTTTTATTTATATTATTACTAAGATTATTTTTGTATATTAACTGAGTATGAGGATTTGTAACTGGATGAGATGTTTGTAATTTAATGTTCATTATATTCAAAAGATCATTTTTAACTGATATTCTATTATGACTTTGATTATTCATTAGATTTTTGTTTAAATGATTATTAGAAATTGAACAGTTATTTTGATGAGATTTAAATCTATCCTTTCTATTTTCACTTGTACTTTCTTCATTACACATAAATAATTTAACTTCATGAGTATTTGAGGCAAATTGATGATTGATTGATTTTAAAGGAGGTTGTAGTTGTTGTTGATGGTAATGCATCATCGACTTCAATTCTGAAGTTTTATGAAAACTATTATCTGGATGATTTGATGGTACTTTGTCCTGAATAAGAAAAATTAATATAAAAACTTGAAATAAAGTTTTAGAAAACATAAATACTAAGTAATTCTTCGATCAAAGTTATAAAAAGAGTGTAGATATGCACGTTTATGTAAATTGGGAGCTGAATAATAATCAATAACATTTCGTTTAATCCTCAATTCCAATGATATTTTATCTATCAAGTTTACATTGTAACTTACAGATTAAGTGACTTGACATTAGGGTGAATATGTCTTTATATTGCCTAATTGAAATTGATCAATAAAAAGAGCTTAAAACAGATTCTATACTCATTGACACATACATGAACTTGTAAGCGAACCTTTACTCACTCAGAATTTTTAAAACAGCATCAAGCATAGCTACTATCAAAGAAATTACAACTAATATATTTGAACCCAGTGAATATATAAGACTAATTTCCAGGGTTTATGCGTATTCTCTGAATTCAATTATTTTTAACGATAAATCACTAATGAGATTAAAACTTCAGAAAAGAAAATCAGAGTTAATAAGTGATTTTTTTATTTCTTAAGTAGTAAGTAAGTCAAAAAGCTGTGGCTATCGAATGAATTTCACTTACTTAAAAGTTATTTCTGATCACTTTTATGAACCTAGAAACTAGTGCTATATGTTAAACTATAGGTAGGTTATTATTTCGATGGAGTGAAATTGAAATGTGAAGAGTAATTTTAAATTAATTTCTTTGACTTTGTAAATAACTCTAGTTAACTCTGAATATATTTTTTTTGTTCTTAATATTCATTTTACTTTCACTAATTCAGAAAATAAGTAAAGAAATTGAGAAGTTTTAGTTCTCTAAGGGAACATACAACTATATTCTTAACGAATTTCTATTAAATTAGATTATTTCAAGAAATAGAGTAAATGATATACATTTTGTCACCCAGAGGTACCCGCATTTCAGTGTTGATATTCCTACTGAGACTGAAACCCAGTAGCCTTCCTTCCAACCCCAGAATATCTGTTCGCGAGCTGCTGATTCCAGGAAGCTATTAAATTATTTAACGAGTATGAGGATTTTGTAGGGGTTTGTATTTTTCGTTTATTTATCTCAAAGAGTATTAGTAAGAGAAAAAACCTGTACTTGATGGAACCGCCAGCTTTAATATCAGAATTTACTAAAAATCTGTAGCTAAGTGGCAATGATAAGGTAATTGTCTAAGGATTTTCATATGCAAATAATGATAGATCAATTTTAGTTCTTAAGATCAACAACATCGAATACGAATTTTCATAAATATATTCTTTACAGTTCAGATTAAGGTCCCATTGGACACCAATTACAGTCTTCCCCTATTTTAAAGTCTGTTACTAAGTCAACAGTAATGATAATTTCAAATTGAACGCTTACGTTCTTCCATACAATCTTAACTGTATATTAACCATGGGTGTTAAATATTATCCTGACACTTGGACAATTTACTTTGAAGGATGATTGATTATACTCATGGGCAAGCAAGTGGAAAAACAGTACAGATTATTCATAAACTTTTTTAATGTTCGATAAGTGTTCTAAGTTTCCCTGTTGATAAATTATTGGTGTGAAGAATCTTCAGTTGTCTTTAAGTGTTAGTTAAGTGTGACTAAATTCAGAAGCTTTACCCCAGTTATATAGATAACTACTGAATAATTACATGAAACTTCATTATTTATCAGTGTATAAGAAAAGTAGATTTGCTGCGAAAAATTATGTTCGAGGGTATAAAACGTGTGAACTACTGTGTATATTTTAGAAAAATTAATTACAGACTGTATATCTTTAATGAGTTAAGAAAACAACTGTTGAGTTCAAATGATCACGATACAATACAGGGTTTTCTTTTGAGCAAACACGTATGTTCTGAGTTATATCAAAGGCAAATTTATAGGTCAATATAACAATAAGTTATTAATTATTATATTTTAGAATATTTTCATATCCAATTGAAAATACTGAACTTTATGAAGCAAGATAAGTCATCAAATAATCATGTTATTGTTAGCTATTGTCCAAATATACTTTCATTCGAATCTCGCGAGGCGGGGTCGTGGATGCGCACTGCTGAGGAGTCCCACAATAGAACGAAACGGCTGTTCAGTGCTTCCAGGTTTTCCATGGTGGTCTGACTTCAATCGACTCATGATCTCGACTATTTAAATCACTTCAATCTACACAAAACCCCTTCTGAGAAAAATATACATTTATAATCAAATCACATTATATGATGTTAGGATTTAAGCAGAAAATATCTCTTAATAAAATTAGATTCAGTACTTTAAAACCACAGTTGCTATGGTAGTAGTTGATTATCCCTAACTGTTTCAATGATAATAAGTTACTATAAAATCTATCTTCTATGTGATATGGAATCATTATTCCTTTCAGCTGAAAAACAATGTTTTCCAAGTTATGAAATGCATATATACATATTCATTTAATAAATCTTATGTACATTTTTAATAACCATTTGAACGAAACTCTTACTGACATATTAACATTATTACATTAGGAAATATAAATGTTAATAAAGGTCATACATTCCTCATGTCAATGATTTATTTTGCGAAATAAATATGAAACCACATTTATGCTTGCAGCCATCAGTATAGAATACATATATCACAGTAAAGATTGATTTAGAACGATTATTTATTATCAAGCTTGTCAGTGTATGGGCATAAAATGCTAAATTTCACAATTGGTTCAATTTGGGTTTTTTTAAAAAACAAACTGAAATGGAAAAAATACACATAAACATTGAGTTGCAGTAGCAATGAATGTTTATTGAATCCCAGGAAGGCCTTATTTATGTATGTAAAACCACTCACTATGGATAATCTACAAGTTTTCATTGTGTGTTTTTGGATTAAATACTATAAAACTAATAAACTTGAACACATTCTTATAGTTATGCAGTGCAAAGTTAATATTCAATGTTTACTATTTATGAGTAAAATGTTTCTATAATTATAGATTAGAATATGAATAAAATGTCCATATTTATTTTTTATAAATTTAATGCACTACTTTTTAAACAAAGATGGATAGTGACTGTTAGTGGAATCCAGGACGTGTGTTTCGTCCCATTTGGGACTCGTCGCCCCCAAATGCCCTTGTACGGCCGAGAGTGGGGAGATTCCGCTCTCCCTCTCGAAATGCTTTCACATGGCCACGCGTACATAGCCTCTGACAGGGAAGTCCTACCCACTGCCTTCTCGTGACAGGAGTGTTGTTTACGAAAATGAGAGGACGAAAAGCGAATGTCCGGCGCTTTAACCGGATTCCAAACCAATGGTGCACATGGGCTCCAGTATCCTGCGGGAACAAATGGCGTATGAATCAATCGTTGGTCACCGGCTACCATGGGACTGCATCTCCTTACGATGCTCCACTGCCTTGTGGATCAGAATTTCAGGTCGAAGGCTCGGGGAGTGGCCCCCTAAGAAAACCACCTGCTTCGGTTTGGGCACCCGGCAGTATCAAAGCCTTCACACATATCGAATGAGATTTGTATGGCGGATATGTATTTGGTGCCTTCTTTTACCAATATCTACGTGTTAAAATAAAAGTGTAATAAATAAAATTTGGGACTCGTCGGCTGGATGTACCTACATCGCAGAGTTGATGTTCACTCTGGGACTAATAATGGGAAGATATAAGTAAAACAACACCAAGTGAATTTAATACACTACTTGTGTTGTAACCATAAATGAACTTCAGAAACAACTATCTGATACTTTTGTAACTTTATGACAACTGTTCAGATTTCATCAGTGCATAGATAATTAATGCTTAAGTGAATTTTCACAGATTGAAATCATGAGTCAGTTGAAGCTAGACCACCATTGAAAACCTGGAAGCACTAGACTGCCGTTTCGTCCTAGTATGGGACTCCTCAGCAGTGCACATCCACGATCCCTCACAACTGAATTATCCAATTTCTAACAATAATGTTGTTGTACTGGATAAACAATGGTATTGTTATGTGCTATAACTAAATAAAGAGTGATTTAGCTCAATGTTAAGATTTTATTATAGAAACAAATATAAGTCGATACTTGACCAAATGATATATAAGTTCAAATTAAAATTGACATTAATTAACCAGTAATTAACTATATATTAACAGTTTAAAATATCATTAGTTTAAACTGACCGCTGCTCCTTCCTAATAGATGTTTACCGGAAGTTAAAATTCTTAATAAACTAAGTGCATAGTAAACAAATGAATAAACTAAACGAAAAATCACCGACATAAACAAATAATTTAATTACGGTAGAAAGAGTTGATCAAGAGTTTTTTGACAGCCTCTGACAGTTAAACACACTTAGTAAACCGTCATATTTATTCAACACTTATATACAAAGTCCCGTCGTAAATTAAGCTGGTTTCACTCTATTGTGTACTGAACAATAGTGATAATTTTCAGTAATCATTTACACAAGTACAAACAAAAAAACAAGAATCATTATTTGGAATTAAAATTTATAATACAATAGAAACTTTTTAATTGTTGTGAGTTGTTATTTAGTGAGTTTGTAACCTTGTGACTTGTTCTCATCCGCAACAAATGAGAACAAAGTTCTTTATTTAATTTTTAACTGACTACAGTGTTTAACATGAATCACTTTGTAAAAGTTGACTGTGATTTATGTCCCAAGGTACTTTATGAACATGATCTTTATTTTGCTAATGAGTTATATTATTTCCCTTGATGAATTTAAATAACGAGTTAAATCTTAAGAAACTATCTTCTTCTTATTTGAGACTGGACAGTAAAATCCTAAAAATGGTATTAATAGAAATTATGTTATGTCAAGAGCAACATATCTTTGGTGCATGAAAGACATGTTAGTCGAATTCGTACAAATAACCTGATAATCGAGGTATTCTGGATCACAATATCACACTATAGACCCCAGATAAAAAACCATGAGTTGATGTTTGAATTTCTTAGAGAGTCGTCACTTCACATTGAGATGTACGATTGTGTTA